TCCCAGGATGTGTGGTGCCTAGAGGGACCCCCCCCTTCTGTCCAAGGCCCCACTCCTCGATCTGGGGCCCTGCCCTTTCTGGGGGAGGAGCCAGCTCATGACCACTACCCACAATTCATAAAGTGCCCCCCTCCAAAAAATGCTTGCCCACCCCTGCTACAAGCGATCCTGCAGACCCCACCCCCGCCCCACTCTGGTGTTAGCTCATGTCCCTGGGCCTGGCTGGGTGGTTATGGGGAAACCTCCCTCCCCCCACACTCCTGCTCCTGCTGCTGGCCGGATGAAGGGAAGAAATGCTCAAGCTGGATCCACCAGTGATGGCATCAAAGCCCAAATTCCCTGTTGTACCAAGCCCTAGGGGCCCTTTGTGCTGGGGGCTGATGTCCGGGGCCTGCTGCCGAGTATCTGTCCTGGCACCGCCCGGCTGGCAGGAGCCTCTCTGCGCACTGGCAACTGCACCGAATAAATCAGGCTGGGAAATCGCAGCCCCGCGTGTGTTATTATTCTCCGGTTGCTCGGGGCCGGGCCCGGCCGCACACGACTGGGGCGCTCCCAGCGTTTTGCCTGGCTCTCTGCGCACCTCTGAGCTGTGCTCCTGAGGGTCTGGGAATGGAGAAGAGGGGGTTATTTTCCACCCTGGCTGGAGCCTCGGCACAGGGACCCCTGCAACTGCCAGTCTGCTAATCCCCCACTGCTGCCAAGCAGCTGTCTCTGGGGTGGGCCATAAGGGGGAGAGGGGCGCCGTTTACACAGGAAACTTTTCCCAGAGCTGACATGCAGCCATGTCTGGGGTGGGGCAGCTCAGGCCGTGTCGTCTGATTTCACACCCGCGCCGACCCACTGGGCAGACTACACCACCGCTGTAAAATGGGGCTGGAATCGACTCACAGCGTTTACATTGGGGCTCGGCCCCTGGGCAGCTGCACTGCTTGGGGATTGGGGGAGCAGTGGCCATGCAGAGTGAGTGTAACGAGGGGGTGAGGCCCGGGAGCCGACTCTCAGCTGAGCAGCAGCATTACACAGGAGCTCAGGGCAATTGTGACATTTACAGGAGACATTCCTGGCCTTGAGGCCAAAGCCTGGTAAGAGGAAGTTGCCTGGTTATTGTGAGAGAGTAAATAAACCTTCCACGCCTCCCTTAGCTCATTTATGGCCCATTGTATTGACACGGCCCAGGCTCAGCAATTCTGGGGAAAGTCCACATGACTAGGAAATGGAAAGTGAAAAATACACCAGCTCCCAGCATCACTAGGAACCGGAGCCGGTGGAGAATGCTGGGACATCATCTTTCAAGGTCAGACATTTTGCTCCCACCCAGCAGAGCAGTGGCACTGTCGTCAGCAGTGGGATACTGGTGTCAGCAGTGGGATACTGGAGTGATTGGCACCAATCTCCCTATCCCAAGGTTTTATACCTTGGCTATCCCTGTAGTATCTCAGTGCCTGCCTTATGATTTTACCGTCCACTACAGCAGCCATTTCCAGTACCCAAAGAACAGCCAGAAACTCCTAAATTCAGTCCAGAGCCTGCAAGTGAAATCTATGCATCCCATGGAGAGGGGTTCCCATGTCCCACCAAGCCTTCGAAGGAGGACCCTTTCCAGAGGGGTGGGCCAGGCCTGGCAAAGAATGTTGCTTCTGTCAATAATGCGAAGCCATTGCAAACGAGGTGAATGCCATTGTGGGGAGCATTAAGAGGCCCAGGGAAGTCCTTGTCTGGCTCGGCTCGGCACCGCTACAGCCCACGGAGCCCTGGGCCCAGTTAGGGGCGCTGCATTCTGGAAAGAGGCCCCGAGAGGTGAGAGAAGGGCTCTGAGGTTTAGGAGACCTGCTCCAGGAGAGGAGGTGGAAGCACCTGGGCGAGCTCAGTCAGAGACGTGGGGGGCGGCAGACTGGATAACAGCCCTGAAATGTGTGAGAGGTCCTTATACAACGGCCAGGGAGCGATTATTCGCCAGGTCCCCGATGGGGGAGAAGCGGGAAAGGGCTCAGGTGCTGCAGGGCGATGGAGGTTGGATGCAGGAAACTCTAATTCCCGAGGCCGTTCAGGGTTGGGATCCTGTCACTGGGGGGTTTAACACCAGGCTGGACAAAGCCCCGTTGTTACGCTTCAATGAAGGACACGAGATCTTTTATAGGGGAAAAGGCCGTACGCTGCATGTATTGCATATGCCTTTCAGTCACTCACGCACCTGGACACCACACACACAGTCCCGCTAGACGACGTTTTAGTTACCGGTCCAGAGTCTGTATCTAGTGGCCAGCCAGATCGATCACAGTGGGGGAACAGGGCCTTTGTCGGTCCAGATCTGATGCTCCTCTCAAGTTGGTGGCAAGACGAACCCAAAGCTTCATAGCAAGGCACCCTGCTTTTATAATCCGTTCCTCTGTGGAAGTCTCTGGATTCCGCTTCGTCAGCCTGTGATGGGTGTGTGATCGTTTTGATGTCAATCGTGTGGAAGAAAACAAGCCGCCACTCTGCGTTGTGTGAAGCAACAAGTCGCCAGAAGCAATTTATTCGAGCAATATTGCAAGGGAAGACAGCATAAGCGGATCTTCAAATACAAAACAATTAAAACCCAATATACATACCTTCCTGTGACGTATAACGTCACACAATTACTTCCCTGCCCACTCAGTCCCCATCGGATGCTGTCTTATCTCCAAGGTTCTCCGGCATTCCGTTCTTATCCTGGAGAGCGAGGCAGCCAGGCGAGCGCAGCGTCTCTCCTGGCTCTCGCGTTAGCAAGAGTCAGAGTGAACCAGACTCTTGCTCTGCTACTGACAAACCCTGAAATGGCCACCCAAATCCCCTCTCCCTTAGTCCTGCTTCCACAATCACTCCCAAAACATCTCCAAAGGCTCATCCTGTCATCAATCATCTTTCCATAGAACCATAGAGCTGGAAGAGACCTCAGAAGGTCATCACGTCCAGTCCCCTGCTCTAGGCAGGACCAATCCCAGCTAAATCAACCCGGCCAGGGCTTTGTCAAGCCGAGACTTAAACACCCCTAGGGATGGAGACTCCACTACTTCCCTAGGGAATCCATTCCAGTGCTTCACTACCCTCCTAGTGAAATAGTTTTTCAGGGGTACCTGCTCTGCTCTAGGGCCATCCATCTGCCTATCTGTCAGTCCTTGATCCTGGCCATGAACTGGTGGTTATTGATGGTTTCTTTGATGCCGACAAGTATTTTCACCCACGCTCACCCCTTCTTCCTTGGCCATCTGGTTCTGAGCAATAACCTTCGCACCTTTCTCGCCACACTTCCATGCCACGTTCACACATAAACAATCTGCACAAAATGTTGCAAAGAAAAACGTAATACGACAGTATAAACAAAGCGTCTCATACTGGGCAAAGCAAAGGACATTGTACATCAAACAATTAAAACTTCAACTGCCAACATTCCTCTAATCTCGTTAACATAGACGCAATACCAAAACTCGCTCTCTTTACTTACTCAACTCACTACACTTTAAACAAGAAATCATATATTTACATTACTACATTACTAAACCTAAAATACAAATATAAAAAGAATAAAACTTTCAATCCCAACACCATCAGGACTGGTTTGTGTTGGCTTGGCCACGCCTCTGCACCAAGGGCCCTGCCAGCCCCACACGTCCAGTGTTCTGGGCCCATTTCTGGGCCACATGCCCCTGCCCCACTGCTGGCTGGACTGAGACCCAAACCTCCAGTCGCTGCCGGGAAGGTCCTGGGTTCTATTCCTGGAATGGGTGGAGGAGTGGGGTCTAGTGGTTAGAGCAGGGGGGACCGGGAACTAGGACGCCTGGGTCTTCCATTGACTCCATGTTCCACTAAGTTCTAATTCTCATGCTCTCAGAGGTAGAGAGGAAAGGGCCTGTGCAGAGCCCAGACCCACAAATACAGCCCCAGGGGCAGCCTGTACCCACACAGCCTGATTTTAGGAGGTCGTTATTATTGGCTCAGATGGGCTCCCATAGTCCAGTCCCAAGGGAATGAAGCAGACTCCAAGCAATACGGGCCCTCATGTTGTTCTAACAATTCCCCTGGTGCTACGTGCTGTTGGGCTCTTCGGCTGAGACACCCTGCCCAGATCTCCCTGTGGCTCACGACCAAGGACCGGCCTCACCTTTGGCCTGCCAAGAGAGTGCCAGGCCTGGTTCATTAGTGCGAGAGGGAGACGCAGATGACGGGAAACCGACAGACGCTCTCTTTGAGTTACCTCAGCTAAGGCCTGAAGCCATGAGCGAGAACGAACCATTGAGAGAGAGAGAGGGAGCTGTTCCTGCATATGGACCCAAAACCTCCTTCCAAGTCCCCCCACCATGAGCGAGAACGAACCATTGAGAGAAAGAGAGGGAGCT